CTTTCTAGTTGGGCTGGGAGTGTGCTGCTGGTTGGGTGTCCCCGGGTCTCTCTTTCTAGCTGGGCTAGGAGCTAACTACATGGTAGGACGACTCGCGATATCTACCTCACCCACGAGTCCCTCTTTTTAGTTGGGCTGGGAGTGGACTGTTTGGGTTGGGTGCCACCTGGGGTCACTCTTTCTAGCTGGGCTGGGAGTGCACTGCTGGCTGGGTGGAGTCTGATGGGTTATCTTGGTTACTTTGGGTTGAGAGCCTGTTTTTCTTCTTTCTCAGTAGACTTAGCTATTATGTGTACTTGTCGGGCTTATGGGGTCCGTTTAGGTTTTATTTAAACTTGCGCACGAGTATACCTTCTGGACTTATGGGGTCCAGTTAGGTTTAGTTTAGATGTACTTACTTTATCTCTGGTATGCTCGTGTGCTTTCTTTTCATATCTGTTTTGACCTCTTCGTGTCTAGATTTTATCCTTTCTTATTGTTTTTACCATTTTTGCTCAGTCGGCCTTTCATGCCTACTGAGTACTTGTTGGTTTGGTACTCATGCTACACTCTACATCTATTTTGGGACTTACTGAGTACTTGTTGTTTTGGTACTTATGCTACACTCTACATCCTTTCATGCCTACTGAGTACTTATTGTTTTGGTAGTCATGCTACACTCTACATCCTTTCTTTTGGTTTAGCTAGTCTTGTTGCTTTTGAGGCACACTTTGTTATGGTCCACTTTTGGGACTTATACTATTTATTAGACAGCTCTGTACTAGTGACTTCCAGGTTCTGGGAGGGATTTTTGTATATATTTATTTTGGTTTGCTTCCACCTTGTTGTCCTTGTTTAGATTATTGTTTCCGCTAGTTTCTGTCCTTACGCTCATTGCTTGATGTTCTGGGTTACAGTTTGGCTTACCTACTAGTGGGGTATAGTAGGTGCCATCATGACTCGAGAAATCGGGTCGTGACAATATGTTTTACATATCAAGTAACCAAAGCATAAGAAGGTAACAAAAAGCTTAGGTGTTTACTGAATAACGTGCCAACAAAATCTTTAACACATCCAACTTAAATCGTAAATCGATCTCTCTGTTCTAGAGCAATGAGAAAATGGGGACACCGGTTAAGCTACATCTGCCGTCAATAATGAAAATATTGCCCGATACATATTCTGATGAATCAAGGTTTAAATACCTTACGATTGATGTTATAACTGGATCTATCGTTCCAAAATCTCTCAGAGGAACAATTCTCGAAATAACACATTTGTACCATTCCTTTTGAATAAGACTCTATGTTATCTCAAATTTGAAAATTGCTGGTGCTATTGAGTTCACTCTAATATTGTATACACCCATTTCAAGTGCCATAATTTGCAATAAATCGAATAATTAATAGAGGAGAAATTAAATGGATAATTTGATAAAACATCAATGGTAGAAGTTTTAAGATTACAATTTCTAGTGAACATGTCAAGAGCCATCTTCGAAGAAAAGTAGGCAATACACCCTGGCAATAGTACTAGATCCAGACCAGAAACTGAAGAGATATTAATAATAGATCCTCCGCCCTGTTTAGCATCGCGCATGCGTCTACATATGTATTTTGACACCAACCATGCCCCTCTGAGATTCGTCTTGAAGATATGTTCCCACTCCTCCTCTGAGAGTTCTAATGAAAAGCTCACATTACCGATATAAATATATTATATGATATTGTTACCGTGTTGAAGTGTATAATCATTGATGTTATCTAAAGCTTCATTTATCTTTTTAAGAAATTACAATTCTCTTCAACCATACCTCTAATGTCGGCGTTGTTAATCAAGGTATTGATAAGTCCAAAGGCATTCCAAGCTTTTTGTACAGCGACCTCAATAGTAGCACCATTGGATGTGACATCAAGCTCGAGGGGGAATGTTCGTTCGAGACCTTATTGAAAGTCAAGAGGGGGGTGAATTAAAATTTCCTTCTGCACGTTAGTTGAATAGATAAACAGTAATAAATATTGTAGTAAGTAAAAAACACAAATAGTTTTTATACTGGTTCGGAACACCGATGTGGTGCCTACGTCCAGTCCCCTTGGGTTTCAAAGGTTTCCTTTAGAGCTTTGAAGTGAACTTCGGTGGTATAGGGTTTCTGTGATTTGATCCATATGCAAATCAGATGTTCTACCTTTACACTTCCTCTACTTATAAACCTACACTCATAATCTTTCTTTCTCTTTTCTTTTCTTTTCAATTGTTCCACTCACATGATTACAAAGCTGTATGAAAGATAAAAGAAGATTGCACTATAAGCTCAAGTGAAGTTGCGTACCTCACTACAAAGACTAAGAGAGGTTTATATAGATGTGGACGGCTAGTGCTCTATTTCGGGAAACCCTAAGGGAGTTTTAAATCAAGGATCCTTAAATTGAGTCCTTGATTTATTTTGATTGATTTGTTGAATCATGTCCATATCAGATATGTGCATGACTAAATCAATCCCTTCCTTTGTTAGATGATCTCATTGAATCTTGGTTGATCTTCAATCCCTTCCTTGAATCTTGGCTGATATATTCTTCCTTGATTGATTTACAGATACTCTCTTTTCTTCTTCAAATGTTTGTATTGCTTGACTTGATATCTCGTGCCTTCCATGCGTGGCTCCATGAGTCCTGACTAGGATTCTAGTTGTCTTGATTTGTCTTGAGCTTCTTCTTTGTGTTGTTTTCCATAATGCCTTCATGATTTCCAGGCTGCTGGATTTCCTTCCTTGTTGATTTCTTGTGAGTTGTCATTATTCAGAATATAACAAGTTAACAATCTCCCCCTTTTTGATAATGACAACTATAACTAATACGAGTTTAATTTGACTTCCCTGTTCGATGTATCTTAGACTGACGGACATTTGTTTGCTCCCTCTTTCTGTATATTGTGTCTAGATTTTTTCCCCCTTAGACATAATCAAAAAGGAAAACAAAGCAACAAACATGACAGGCAAAAACAAATATACAAGCAAAGAGTATGGGGTTAGAAACCCTGAAATTACAGTCCAAAAGATAAGGAGACATATCTCCACAAACTAATTGTCTTAACAAAAGAGAAAGAAAGTCGTTGTCTTAACGATCACCATGAAAGTACTTCAGAGTGTTGGGCACATTCCTGCAGAAAGTGTTAACAGAGCGCTCAACAGTCTTAGAAAAAGTGGAGTAAGAGGTATGAATTGATACAACCAACTCGTTATGGGCAGGGTCAACTCCAGTTTTGATGGAGTTGACTTCCTTGAGAATTGTATTGATCGAGCGAATGGCATCCTTCTTAAGTCCTCCCACCTTGAGACGGAGCTTCCCAACATCAGTGCTAGAGTCCTTGTGCAGCGGTAGTACCGTTCCAAGGGTATCCTGTAAAACTTGCATGTGAGATTCCAGTCCATCTAGCCTTACTTTAATGTGTTCTGCCTCTTTGAGAAGCAAAGAAGCAGAGTCGGATGAGATTCTAGTAGCCCTGGGTGTATCAGCCCTGGATTGGACAGACTCCTTCTTATACCATTTATCATTGACGAGAACATACCCATGCTTAAGAAGGTACGAGTGTCATAAGTAACATCAATTAACACATGCCTGTATTTAGAGAGATCCACAAGAGAGTATACAATAATACGAGATATAAGCAGTCCATAGGGTAAGCTGGCAGAGGGGTTATTGTCTTCAATGCTTTCAATCATGTACTCGCGAAACCACATAGCCCAATTTATACGAAGCTTATTTAGAAGGCAGTACAGAAAAATATATCTCTGTTGGAGATATTGCTTAGAGAGCCCTTTCGTGGAACCAGGGTGGTAGCCATAATATGGGCGAGAATGTGATTCTCAAAACCAAGAGATAAGGGACCAAAATTAGAGAGATCATAACTAGCTTCAACAACAAAAATCTTAACATCTTCCAGAGAGATTTCAAACTGATCAGGCCACAAATTTCCATGCGTAAAAGGAATATCGCTAAAAAACTCAGAACCAAACACTTCCTTAAACAGAGAGTCATTCAGTATGATACGGTTACCCAAAATTAGGGTTTCCCACTCACCATTGTCAGCAGAGATCAGAAGGTTTGCCTAAAATAGACGGACCGGTTCTTTAAAAAATTCAAGCCCATAGAGACGCAATAGAAGGGATAACTTCTCAGCACGAAAGAAGGTACTTACAGCGCAGTAAGATGCCTCAAGCTGTTCCAAGTTTATCACTCGACCAGGCACAATAGGTCACTTTGAGAAGGAGGAAAATCTCATCTTATGCTTCAATCCCTAGAAAATCAACGAGTCATCCGTAGTGAAGATCTCTGGGAAAGCAGGACGGGACTTCTTGGACGAAGATGGACGTTTCTTTAACAAAGAAGAGTGAACCACCGATTCTGTTTCAGAGGAATCAGACGAGAGAAGTTCCACTTCAAGGGAAGCAGAAGGAATTTTAGCTTTTCGGAGAGTACCCATGGATCGAGTGTGGGTCATGGTGAGATGGAGAAGAGATGAGTGAAAGAGAGAGGAGAGAAAGGAGAAATAAAAAGGGAGAATGAAGGATGAAGAGTCTGGCGGTGAAGCGACAAACGGGCATTTGAAGAAAACGAAGAGTTTTATGGAGAAGAGAGGACATAATGACTCTACAAAAAAGGAAAATAGTTAATGAGAAACAAGATAAATAAGGAAAGCCTGTAAAATTAATTAATAATCACAGTAATAAGGAAAGTCGGTAAAATTAATTAATAATCACAGTAATACCAAGACATTCTCGAAGGTAAAAAAATCTTTTCTCAAGCAAAGATTTTGTAAAAATATCAGCTAACTGATTTTCAAAATCAACAAATTCAAGCACAAAATCACCATTTTCAACATGATCACGAATAAAATGATGTTTGATGTCTATATGTTTAGCCTGGAGTGATGCACAATATATTTAGATAAACTAATAGCACTAGTATTATCACAAAAAACAGGTACTCCTTCGAAGAATAGACCATAGTCTAAAAGTTGTTGCATCATCCAAAGTAGTTAAGTGCCACAACTTCCAACTGCCAGATATTCGGACTCAGTAGTTGAGAGGGCAATGGAAGTCTGCTTCTTACTATGCCAGGAAATAAGGGATTTTCCAAAAAACAAACATGTTCTACTGGTGCTTTTTCTGTCATTTTTATCACCTGCAAAGTCAGTATCTGAATATCCAATTAAATCAAAATTCTCAAAAAAAGGATACCATAACCCCACCCCATATCAGAGGTTCCAATGAGATATCGAATGATTCATTTTACAGCAGTGAGATGTGATTCCTTTGGAGCGGATTGAAATCGTGTGCATTTCCAAACGCTGAACATGATGTCTGGTCGACTTGCAGTGAGATATAATAGAGATCCAATCATTCCTCGATATAGTTTTTCGTCAACTGATTTACCTATTGTATCAGATTCTAGACAAGTGGAGGGACTCATGGGTGTTCCAAAGGCTTTACCTTTTTCCATTCCAAACTTTTTGATCAACTATTTTGCATACTTACCTTGATTTATAAAAGTTCCTCTATCTGACTACTTAATTTGTAGACCGAGAAAAAAACGAGAGCTCACCCATGAGACTCATTTCAAATTCGCCTTTCATGAGATTAGCAAAATTCTCACAAGGAGAAAGGTTAGAGCTTCCAAAGATAATATCATCAACATTAATTTGAACAATAAGAATGCAGGAATCAGATTTTTTGTAAACAAGGTAGTATCAATTTTCCCTCTTTGAAAATCATTTTTATAAGAAAAGTGCTCAATCTTTCATACCAAGCTTTTGGAGCTTGTTTTAGACCGTACAGAGATTTTGATAATTTAAAAACATAATCAGGGCAAGAGAGATTTTCAAAATCGGGAGGTTGTTTTACAAACACTTCTTCTTTAATAAATTCATTTAAAAAGGCATTTTTACATCCATTTTAAAAAGTTTGAAACGATTGAAAGAAGAAAAAGCTAGAAGAATTTGAATAGATTCTAACCTTGTGACGGGAGCAAAGGTTTCATCATAGTCAACTCCTTTTTGCTGAGAGTAACCTTGAGCTACTAACCTGGCTTTATTTCGGACAACCTTTCCGTCTTCGTTCAATTTGTTGCGAAATACCCACTTGGTCCAATTACTGAACAGTTCTTAGGTCTTTCGTTAAGAGTCCACACTTGATTGTTTTCAAATTGATCAACTTCTTCTTTCATTGCTTGTATCCATGATTCATCTTCCATTCGTTCATTAATTCATTTGGGTTCCATTTGGGATATAAGAGCCAAAGAAGCTTGTTTTTTTAGGGAAGATCTTGTCTAGATTTTGTCATCTGGCTTTCCCAGAATGAAGTTTTCAGGATAGCTGGCATTGTGTCTCCATTCCCTGGGAATGTTGACTTTGTCGGTTGGAGTAGTCGACTCCACTTCTGCAGTAGCTGGCTCTTCAGTAATAATTTCATTGGAGGATTTTGAGATATCTTCTGCTGGTTTGAATGAAGCAAATTCATCTTCACCAGCTTCAACTTCCTGTACTCTTGGATTAGTGTCATCAAATACCACATGAACAGATTCTTCAACACTTAAAGTTCTTTTATTAAAGACTCAAAATACCCTGTTAATAGGTGCATTGCCTAGAAATATACCTTCGTCACTTCTTAGGTCGAACTTACCAAGATTATTCTTACCATTATTGTGGATGAAGCATTTGCATCCAAAAGGATTAAAATAGCTGATGTTAGGTTTCTTTCCTCTCCAGAGTTCATAGGGAGTCTTCTTTAGTATAGGCCTGATGAGACAGTTGTTAAGAATGTGACAAGCAATACTTACTGCTTCTGCCCAAAAATGGTCAGGAAGACTTCGATCGAGGAGAATTATTCTTGTTGTATCTTGTAATGAACAATTTTTACTTTCTACCACTCTGTTCTGTTGAGGTGGTCTAGGTGAAGAGAAGTTTTAAGTGAAACCATTTTGAGCACAGAATTCTTCAAAGGCCTTATTCTCAAATTCACCACCATGATCATTACGGATAGTTGTAATGAAGTAACCTGCCTCTCTTTGAACTTTTCTATAAAATACTTCAAAGTTAGCAAAAGCTTCATTTTTATGAGTGAGAAAGATTACCCATGTAAACCTTAAGAAGTCATCAACAATTACAAAATCATATCATTTACCTCCAATGTTGGTAGTTTGAGTAGGACCAAACAGATCCGTGTGAAGAAGCTAAAGAGGTTTAGATGTACTAACAATATCTTTTCCTTTAAAGGATGAACGAGTCTTCTTACCCAATTGACATGCGTCACAAATGTGATTTTTCTCAAACTTTAGTTTTGGCAGACCAATGACTAGTTCAAGTTTAGATAGTTTCTCGAGGGCATGCATACTTGCGTATCCAAGCTTTCGATGCCATAGCCAAAGATCACTTTAGACTGCAGTAAGGCATGTAAGAGATGGAAAATCAACATCATTTAAGACATATATATTATTAACTCGATCTCTGATGATGGTGAGATTTTTCTCAGGATGTTTGATGATGCAGCTAGTTGTATTAAAAGTAACTTGAAATCCAGCATCATATAGTTGACTAATGCTTAGGAGGTTGTGTTTGAGTCCCTTAAACAGATACACTTCGACTAGATCGCATGATGAACTGAGAGTAATAGTCCCAACCCCGGTTACTTCCCCTTTAGCATTGTCTCCAAATCTAACGCATCCCTTAACGATTTTTTTGATAGTTTTGAAGTTTTCTTTCTTTCCGCACATATGTCTGGAGCATCCACTGTCAAGTACCCACATTTCCTTTCGGTACGTTTTCTTAGATTGCTCCTGCAAAACAATAAGATTAGTTTCTTTTAGGTACCCAAGTATTTTTGGGTCCTTGATGATTAGTAACTTTTGGTCTCCAGATCCATTTTCCAGAAGAATATTTTCTATAGTTAAAGGATTTGTGACCAAGATCTCCGCAAGTGTAGCAAATAATTTAAAATATTTTTAAGGAGAATGAGAGTTAGAAATATATCTATTGGATCTGTTAGAACTATGACTAGGAGAATTTCTCCTATAAAAAGTAGTTCTGTTAGATCGGACATAACTGTGACTGGGAGATTTCCTGACGTTGTTCAGCTGTATTTTTACTTAGTCGACTTCAATATGACTTGCTTCGAGAAAAATCTGACAGTCTTTCTTTTCTTGAGAAATTTCATTGTACTCGTCAATAACCTTCTATAATTTATCAACAACTATGTCCAAAGAGTTTTGTAAGTCATTACAATTAGGACAATTAAAAGGTCTTACCTCACTTGTTTCACCTAGTGCCATGAAACATATGTTGGTAGTTTCATCATGATCATCGTCGGTTGTTTCTCCTTGATCCCAGGCTCCGAGGCTTTTTGGATCTTCATTTCTTCGATTGTTTCTCCTTCTCCGTTCTGGGCAGTTTTGTTTAATGTGTCCTGGTTTTCCACAGTAGTAGCAGCGATCATCATTTCTGTTGAAATAATTGTTCTTAAAATCCTGTTGAGGTCTCTGTCTTTTTTGTCTAAGCATTTGTCTCACTCCTTGATTTATGAGAGCCATTCTTTCGTCTTGATATTCATCAGCTTCTTCTCCAATTTCAGACGTCTCAGCTGTCAATGCCACCATTTTCTTTTTATCATCTTTGTTGTACCTATTAATATGGTTATGTTCATAGGCCATCAAGTTGCTTCAAAATTCATCGTATGTCATTTTCTGCAAATCTCCATCTTCTAGAATGGCAGCTTTAGTTTCCTAAGCCTTGGGAAGACTTCTAACAAGTTTTCTAACTTGTAGTCCATTTTAGTACACCATTCCAAGTGATTTGAGTTCGCAGACAATTTTACTGAATCTCAAGAACATGGCTTCTATGTTTTCATCTTCGGCCATTTTGAATAATTCATATTGATTGACTAGAGAACTTATTCAAGCTTTATTTACCTTGGTGGTTCCTTCATAAGTCACTTCTAGTTTGTCCCACATTTATTTCGCAGTTTCACATGTTGATATCTTGTCATATTCAGCTCCACTCACTACATAATTTAACAAACTTATAGCTCTAGCATTAGTTTGAATTACCTCTTGTTGTTCTTTTGTGATATCGAAAGATTCGGGATCAAATGGCTTCTCAGTGCAATCTTTTTCGGTCAGTCCAGGAATAGGCTTTGAACCCTTCTTGATCACAATTCATGCTTGATGATCATTTGAAGAGACAAAGATTCTGAATCTGTCTTTCCACTGGGAGTACAGTCCATTGAAATATGGTGGTCGATGTGAGGAATGTCCATCTTGAAGTAGAGCACCAGTAATCTGATAGTGTGTCATTGGATATTTGCTCACGTATGGTTAAACACTTTAATGGTGAGACCTACTCTGATACCAATTGAAAGTCAAGAGGGGGGTGAATTAAAATTTCCTTCAGTCGACTCACCTGTACATTATTAGAATAGATAAACAGTAATAAATATTACAGTAAGTAAATAACAAAAATAGTTTTTATAGTGGTTCGGAACACCGATGTGGTGAATACGTCCAGTCCCCTTGGGTTTCAAGGGTTTCCTTTAGAGCTTTGAAGTGAACTTCGGTGGTACAGGGTTTCTGTGATTTGATCCATATGCAAATCAGATGTTCTACCTTGACACTTCCTCTACTTGTAATTCTACACTCAGAATCTTTCTTCCTATTTTCTTTTCAATTGTTCCACTCACGTGATTACAAAGCTTTATGAAAGATAAAAGAAGATTGCACTATAAGCTCAAGTGAAGTTGCGTACCTCACTACAAAGACTAAGAGAGGTTTATATAGATGTGGACGGCTAGTGCTCTATTTCGGAAACCCAAGGGAGTTTTAAATCAAGGATCCTTAAATTGAGTCCTTGATCTGTTATAATCTATATATATATTTATAATGAACTATTAAGTGCAGAAATAAAACAGCAAATAGGGAAGCTTGTACAAATGAGAAACAAAGGTAAATTTTCAATAAATTTTCTTAATTACATTGAAAAATATAAAGAAAGGTGCATCCATTGAGGAATGCGGTTAGCTGTATGCTTATTCATTAGCAATCATGTTTACAGCACCTTTTGTTGTTTATGGTTCTGTTCATTTATATGACTTTATCACCTTGAGATGACATCTATATCGTTCTTCTGAACTGGTGTTTTTAGCCAAAGCTGACTAATAATTATCGCCACAGGTGCACCAAATCCCATTTTAGCTTTTTTCACGCTCATAAAAATAAAATATAATTTATTATGTTATTTCTATATAATAAAGGTAAATTGTTTCTTTTTTATCTTAAATAATCTGCATACTTCTTTAAAATTAAAGATATTATTAAAAATAATTATTAGTTTACTCTTGAATTCCGAAAAGTATAATTATTCTTTTTGAGCTAAAGTTGCTATATATTTGGAATTGAGGGAAGTAAACTATATATTGGAATTAATATAAATTAGAGTCGTCAATGTGGGCTAGATC